CTCTCTCTCTCTCTCTCTCTCTCTCTCTCTCTCTCTCTCGCTCACTCACTCCGGACACACATATGTACATAGATTACAACTTCGTATAATGTTTCTATCGTGTGATCGACCCACCACAATTTCCACAAGAAAGTGCTTTTCACGTGTGCAGAAAATAAAACAAATGCTGATTCCGCGAAACTCAAGGTGCCTTTTCACGTTAACGCTCGACGCTCATTTTTAGCAAGTAAAAATCTTCAGAAATAATATCTTTTATTTATATATGTATCCATAAAATATTATTACTTGAAGATATTACTTGAAAATAATTAATATTTTACGTATTTCGAAGTCTATGTTTGATTGTACTGGGACGATTAACGACGATTCAGCGACAACGCTGAATATTAAACAAATTCAACTTCATTTCTTTGATGCTAGCGTCAAAGCGAAACCACTACGTTCACCTTGTTGACGCTCATTTTCAGCGTCTCATGAATTGGCACCTTGAAGGTGCGCTTGTCACGCTTGTCGTCGACAACTGGTCATTCATGACTTTTACCGCCTCGCAAGATACGCTCTCCGATGAATTTGCAATTGATTCATTCAATTCTTCTCACTCATTACACGGAATATTACTGTTTCTCGAATCAAATCGACCGTCATATAAGTCAGGTGTCCCGGCTTGCGAGTACGAAGCCGTAGTAAAAACGCGCGTCTTTATCTCTTCCTCAACGAAGGCTTCCACGCGATCGCGCCCGCTTCGATCGAGAGCGCTCGTCTACCGTCGCGACTTCGAAACCGACGTTTCCCGATTACGAGGCGCATTCGCCTCGCGAATCGTGTAAGTGACGGAGACTCGTACGTCACGCCGTACTAAACGTTTCCTCGCCGCGTGCACTGTCGGCTTGGTGTGTAAACGCTTAATCTCGTGACGTTCAGTCATACGAGAGAGACAGAGACAGAGAGAGAAAAGCTCGCGCGCGCTATCAGTCGAATTTAAAGGCCGCCGTTTACCTCGCTGGCTCCTTTTTTACTGGATTCTCAATCACTTGAAACTTCGCAGTTTAGTTTTGAATACATCTTTCTATCGTTCTTCTGGTTTCAGCGACTTGATAATATTCTTTGATCCGACTCGAGCAGTAATAGTTATAATATTATATTCCATTTGATAAAACCGACACATAGTTCGATTAACTATGAGTTACCGCAGTGTTTTTTCTTGTAGACAAAAATTTATTATAGAGACCACTGAACAATTTCCTTGTATCTTTATTCTTATTCTTGTCTCCACGGACAAAATCTCAAGATATTTTACGCGCAATCCGATCGCTTGCATTCAGAAAAATATTTCGTTGTCTTATTGTTAGTTATGAATCTTTATTTTTTCGCAATCTCAAATGTTTCTCTTTCTAAACAGACATCCATGTATTTCCGAACGCAAAAACGCTTCTTCCCATTCTTCCTTCTGATTCCTTTAATTTTGTTTTTTTCAAAACAAATATCTATATGTAAGATATTTGTAAGATATAACTGTCACTTTTTTATTACTCTTCTTCTAGTCTGATTTGTGATTCCAGAATAAATTTGACAATTCAACTTTTGTAGGTAAACGGTAGCAACAATAATAATAATACTAGTAATAGTACTAGTGGTAGTAAATGCTGCATTTCCGGCCAATTTGGTAAAGCACTTAGAAACAGATAGAGCAAAAAAGAGACAGCGGTAGTCCTTCAAACCAGGTATCTTGCTGCTCGCTCTCTTCTCTAACCAGGTGCGGTAATCAAATTTTTGATTGCACTTTTGAACGATCCGGTGTTCGACCACTGAGCCTGACTGACACCCGTGGAGCATAATTATCATCTAAAAGGAAGTCAGCATCACTCTTTTCATTCTTGGGCTCTCTCGAATTTCTTGGCGTATGTCGATTCTCGCCAACTCTTTCTTTTCAATTCTTAAGCGGTAAGGGCTCTGGCGGAACTCGTCCTCTTCACATGAATACATAGTAACCGAGATCCCCTGAAAGGAGATCGAAGATCTCCTAGACCGGGAGACTTGTGACGTTTGCTTACTTATCACCGTTGAGAGAGAGAGAGAGAGAGAGAGAGAGAGAGAGAGGAGAGAAAATAAAAGAAAGAAAGAGGAAGACCGGATGAGACGCGAGGCGCCGATTTGTACATACGATTCGTACACGACGAGCACTGCGCTGCGCGGTGCCGAAACTCCGAGTTCAGCCCGCAGCGATGACAACGACGACAACGACGCGGCTGGGCATCATCCTAATGGCGCGTTATCTTGCACGTAACGCCAAAACACCGACACACCTATTCTTCGGAATTCCTACCGCCCAGCCTCGTCTACGATACACCATTCCCGATACCGGCGGCCATCTTGCGCCATGACGTCGCCGTCACCAGCCGTCACCGAAGGCGCGCCCGACTCCGCCCGAGCGCCGTCGTCGCAACCGTAGTCTGTAGGCCACGTTTCACGATCGGCAGAGTGCACCGCGACACTCAAGATCGATCGTATGTATGTATGTATGTATGTGCATATATACATACACGCATACGAAATCTCGCATGTTGCAAACTAGTTATGAAAAAGAATTATATAAATTAATCAACTAAAGATAAGTGCACGTAAAATGCGTGAAGATAAAAAATAACTGATGAGAGTCTATCAAATAGGAAAATCATGATCTATCAAATAGGACGATATTGAAAAAAATTAATCGACGTTTAAGTAACCGATTCCAAAAAATTACGATGCTTTATAATCGATAATATCGAAATAATAATCGATTAATTCGTAATTTTTTATAGCTATTATTTTAATATTAAATTTATATAATTTAGGGATGACCGACCAAATTTTGATTAACTTAATTAATGATTAATTTTATCAACACAAAGTGTTTACAACACCGGAAATACGTTGGCGCTGCAAGTTCATATTTTTTAATGAACTATAGCTCAAACGATTGCTCCCTAATTGCTCCCTCAGAATCAACAATTGCTCCCCTTTTAAAATTATTATTTTTTGAGATATTTAATAAAAACAAAAAATTTCTAATTTTTATTGAAAAACATATTTATAATAACTCTATGCAACTCAATCCGGCATAAAACAATTGCTCCTTCATTGCTCCTTATTGCTCCATCATAATTTTAATGATTTATTGCATTTTTATCGAAAAATTAACAAATTAATCATTTCACAAGTAACGCCGCCGCCGCCACTATCGGCCGCCTATTGTAACTATGGCTCGGCAGCCATTGGCGGAAATATTTTGGCCTAAGGCTGAGTTTCCACTGAGCGCGTCACGCATCGCGTTATCCGTCGCGACCAATCAAAACATCTTATTTTATTACATTATTTGTAATGGGATGTTTAGATTGGTTAAGCCCCTTGCACAATGCCAGACAACAGGCAATAGGAACAGGAAATAACTAAAAAATCGTTAATTACAACCTAAAAAGTTCGAATGCTATGATTGGTTGGCAACAGGCAATAGGCACAGAATTTCCAACGTGACTGAAACTTGTGTCTATTGATTGTGTCACTGTTTATTCTGCATTTATACATGATTTCTGATTTCTATTCCCTGTTCCTATTGCCTATTGCCTGGCATTGTGCAAGGGGCTTTAAGGTTGTATGACCCGTAAGATCTCTGCCAAAAGTTTAAGAAACGTAACATAAAGCTAATTAACATATTTAAGAAGATATTCTTTACTGGAAAGTAATATTTATATTAATATTTTATTAAAATAACGGTTGCCTGTGTTTTTAAGAGCTATAGAGACATTTTTATGCATATTTTCTTGTATGCAAACTTTCACTTTTAATGATTTTTAGAAAGACTGTACCTGACTTGCAACTGACACAAACGAAAATCTGAAAGTGTGAAAATCTTTAAAAAGTAACAAAACATAGTAATTACTGTTTAAAAATACTAATGAAATTATATTACGTTATTTATTTACGTCATTTATTAATAAATTAAATACAATAGCTCTCATAAAAAAGTATTTTGATCGCGACAACGTCGCATTTTCTGTAAGTTGGTAGCATTGATCTCACTCGACATCAGCTGCGTGAACGCGAAATGTGTGCTCTGAGCACGTGTAATATACAGACGCAACGTTTGAGGTTAGTTTTCGCTTGCGCTACGAAAATGCCAAAAGTAAAACGTTACATGTGCCATGGAATTGTTACAATCATCTGGTGTGGTTTTGACTCGTGTCTTCAAATTACGTTTCCCAGTATTTGTCTGTGCTAACCGTTGATTGTACACTTTTTCAGTGACAACTTTTCCTTTCCACATGTAACGTTTTACTTTCGGCATTTTCGTAGCGCAAGCGAAAACTAACCTCAAACAATGCGTCTGTATATTACACGTGCTCAGAGCACACTTTCGATACACAGGAGGCTTTATTGGAAAAAGTAACGGACCTCTGTAGTATTTGTTATCCTTTAC